GTTTTAGAGGTGAAAATCCTTAAAACATGAAAATCCCAAGGAATTAAAATCGTGAGGAATTAAATCTTTAGGAATTAGAATCCCAAGGAATTCCATGGGAGATTTTTTGGGGGCAGAATTCCCAGAGCGCAGCCGCAGCTCCGGATTCTGTTTCGCTCATGATGAGATCATCTCTTAAAATTTATTCCACCAAATATCTCTTAAAACATTAAAATTCTGAGAAATTACAATCCCAAGGAATCAGAATCCCAAGGAATCAGAATCCCCAGGAATTAAATCTTTAGGAATTAGAATCCCAAGGAATTCCAAGGAAGTTTTTTGAGGGGGCAGAACCACAGCTCCAGATTCTGCTTCACTCATGACAAGGTCATTTCCCAAAATTTATTCCACCAAATATTCCTTAAAACATGAAAATCCCGAGGAATTAAAATCCTGAGGAATGAAATCTTTAGGAATTAGATCTGTAGGAATTCCAAGGGAGATTTTTGAGGGGGCAGAACCACAGCTCCGGATTCTGCTTCACTCACGACAAAGTCATTTCTCAAAATTCAAGGAATGTTTGATGAAATAAAACATTAAAATCCCAAGGAATTAAAATCCTGAGGAATGAAATCTTTAGGAATTAGAATCCCAAGGAATTCCAAGGGAGATTTTTGGTGGCAGAACCCCCAGAGCGCAGCCGCAGCTCCAGATTCTGCTTAGCTCATGATGAGATCATCTCTTAAAATTTATTCCACCAAATATCTCTTAAAACATTAAAATTCTGAGAAATTACAATCCCCAGGAATAAGAATCCTGAGGAATGAAATCTTTAGGAATTAGATCTCAAGGAATTCCAAGGGAGATTTTTGAGGGGGCAGACCCACAGCTCTGGATTTCGCATCACTCATGACAAGGTCATTTCCCAATATTTATTTCACCAAATATTCCTTAAAACATGAAAATCCCGAGGAATTAAAATCCTGAGGAATTAAATCTTCAGGAATTAGATCTGGAGGAATTCCAAGGAAGTTTTTTGAGGGGGCAGAACCCCCTGAGCGCAGCCGCAGCTCCGGATTCTGCTTCGCTCATGATGAGATCATCTCTTAAAATTTATTCCACCAAGTATCTCTTAAAACATTAAAATTCTGAGAAATTACAATCCCCAGGAATCAGAATCCCAAGGAATCAGAATCCCCAGGAATTAAATCTTTAGGAATTAGAATCCCAAGGAATTCCAAGGGAGATTTTTGAGGGGACAGAACCCCCATAGCGCAGCCATAACTCCTGATTTCACTTCACTCATGATGAGGTCATTTCTCAAAATTTATTCCATCAAATATTCCTTAAAACATTAAAATTCTGAGAAATTAGAATCCCCAGGAATAAGAATCCTGAGGAATGAAATCTTCAGGAATTAGATCCCAAGGAATTCCAAGGAAGTTTTTTGAGGGGGCAGAACCACAGCTCCGGATTCTGCTTCGCTCATGACAAGGTCATTTCTCAAAATTCAAGGAATGTTTGATGAAATAAAACATTAAAATCCCAAGGAATTAAAATCCTGAGGAATTAAATCTTTAGGAATTAGAATCCCAAGGAATTCCAAGGAAGTTTTTTGAGGGCAGAACTCCCAGAGCGCAGCCGCAGCTCCGGATTCTGCTTCACTCATGACGAGGTCATTTCTCAAAATTTATTCCACCAAATATTTCTTAAAACATTAAAATCCTGAGGAATTAGAATCCCAAGGAATCAGAATCCCAAGGAATCAGAATCCCCAGGAATTAAATCTTTAGGAATTAGAATCTCAAGGAATTCCAAGGGAGTTTTTTGGGGAGCAGAACCCCCACAGCGCAGCCATAACTCCTGATTTCACTTCAC